ATGAAAGTCTCTCCAGATCCATAGAAATCCTCGACTGTAAGTCATCGTCCATATGGTTAACTGCACTGCCAATCGAAGAAGAGGGCTTTGTATTGGATAAACAGTCCTTCAGAGATGCACTGTGTCTTCGATATGGACTCATCCTACATGATCTTCCCCAGAAATGCCCCTGCGGGTCGACCTTCGATGCAAACCATGCGATGATATGCAGAAAAGGGGGATTTGTACACATGAGACATGAACGAATCAGAAACCACCTATCAAAACTCTTATCAGAAGTTTGCGTAGACGTACGACAAGAGCCCTCACTACAGCCACTGACAACTGAACACCTGACTCTCAGGTCCGCAAATTCCTCTGAAAACGCCCGACTTGACATCAGTGCTCGAAACTTTTGGAGTCATAATGGCCAGCGTGCATTCTTCGATGTAAGGGTTTTCTATCCCAACGCACCTAGCCATCAAACGAAAAAAGTGGAGACACTGTTCAAAGAGCAGGAGAACGAGAAGAAGAGATGCTACAATGAGAGAGTTATGGAAATCGAACATGGAGTCTTTACACCACTCATTTTCGGATCAACAGGAGGCCAAGGAAAAGAATGTGACTTATTTTTGAAGAGACATCATATTTTCAAAAAAATGACATCGGATTATTCAAAAACAATCACGGCGATCAGATGCAAACTTTCGTTTTTATTAGTTAGATCATCAGTAACATGCCTCAGAGGCAGCAGGACTTTTTATAAGACGACGGGTACCGTTTTCGACCCTGATTTTACTACTTCACTTGCAGCGTTTTAACTCACGTTATGACATTATCATTTCTCTTCACGGCGCTATTCTCTTAACTGTACATTTGTTACATTTTATTAGGACAGTATGTAAAGTACATATTGAAAAAAACTCTATCTGTTTTACGTCAAATTTTACTGGTGCTGAAGATTTTACTGATAGAATTTAAATTTTGTTTTTAATAAAATTGTTTTAATTGAAAAAAAAAAATTATCCCTCATTTCAAACCTAATTTCAAAAACATCTGACATACTTTTGCATATTTGAAAATAAATGTAACTGTTAATTAAATAAAAGGTTTTTTGGATAGATGTTCAGCATCTGTCAAAAAAATAAAAATTTTAATTGTCAATTGAAAATTTCTTACTGAGTGAGAAAAAATGCCCTTGCATCAAAAGAACAAAATTAGCTCATTTTTTATCCAGAATATATCAGTAAACACTCAAAAATTTATTTTCATTCTGCGAGAGATGTAACTTAGAACAAATTTTTCCTGAATTCTTCAAAAAATTTGCTGAAATTGGTTTTTGATCAGAATGTTAAAATGTTGAATTCGAACATTGTGTGCGTCATCAGGATAAAAACTTTTTACATTAGATAGAACATGAACAAACAATAATAAAACCAAAAATGTTCCAAAATTTACAGTAAAATGCTATAAAAGACTAAGTAAATGAGATCGATGAACGTAGTCCAGACACTTATTTGGTAGCAATAATTTTTTTGTTATTTCTCAGGAAAAATCTTAAGTTTTGCTCATGCTCATATTTAGTTGTAAAAAGGGCTGATGTAAAAAGTACGAAAAACTTTATCTGTGTATGAAAAACTTTATCTAACTTTACACTTTACTTAATGATTGAGTTTATTTAAATTTGGCCAGTTTTATCAAAAAAGGGCTGTCATGAAATTCAAAAATCTTCAACGCCATCTGTTTTTTATTTAGAAATTCCTTAGATAGAAGTTTAGAAAAAAAACAAGTCGACATGAAAATTTTCCTGGACAGAAATGAACATACCGATCTTTTATGAGATGGCCTCTACGGGAGTACCAACTGACTAGACTCGAACTAACTAACTATTTTTGTTTTAAGGCTCCTATTCTTATAAATACGAACAGATGTAAATCATTCGTCAACTATATCAACTAGTGTAATTTGGACATTTTGTCTATGTGTGAAACCTAGTTACATGACAAATTTAATGACGGAGAGTGTTTCTTGTTTCGGTTTTTGATGATCAAGAAAGAAAGAAGTTCCAAACAACATGGCGGTGTCTTAGTTTTCATCAGTAACCATATCGGCTTCAAACCCATAGTCCTTAATTTTTCAAAAAGCTGCTGCTGCATTACTTTCACTATCCTAATTAGCCGATCCTATATGATTATATCTGCCTTCAATCCGCCCATTGAGTCGAAATAAACATGGCCCTTTGCTTTCTTCGCTGGATGTTTTGAGTTTGTAGAAAATGCGGCGAAATGTTTGCCCAATCTCTTGATTGGAGATCTTAATTTAGCCGCCGCATCCTAGGAAGCTATGTCCAGTCCAGTATCCAATGATCAAGCATGCCTTAATACCTTCATTCAAAAAATCTTATCACATTCAGTACGACACAAAGCCATATTTTGGATGTCGTTCTAACAAACGACCATGAGAACATAATATCCATTCTCCTTTCCAGTCTCCACAATGGAAGAAACTTATCCGAACACAATCCGCTGTCAGTTAAAATAAGCAGCTCGCTCATTATTTTGGGAACCTCACTACAAAGCACGATTTTGAAACCGTCGAATTTTCAAAAACGCAGACTTCGAGGGGCTTTCAAAAGCAGTCGATGCATCGCCTTTCAACGCGTATTGTTGGACAAATCCCTCTCATGGTGGGCGCGTGGATAAAGCCAGCACTAGACAAGTTTGTGCCATCAAAGATCTTACATAGATCCCAAATAGCCCCATTTATTCGGCCGAAAAGTTCCCACTGTATTAAGAAACTCAGTACTAAATTCAAAAAAAGAAGGGTAGATGCTGTGAAAAGATACTCGAGACAAGAAACCAAGTTGCAAAATGCTCCGTCAAAGATTTAGCAGTGCATGAGGCCAATTTTCTTGGAAATAGAGACACTCAGTAATTGTTTAAACTTCTCAGGAGAGTGAGTTCATCCCAGCGACTACCAACACTACTAAGAAACGGCCCTGTCTCCACTAAAATCCCCAGTGAAAAATCGAACATGTTCGATACTTACTGTAAGTCAGTTTACACCTTAATCAGTCAGGCCAACTGTTCGTTTCCTAACTCTGCTTTCTTCTATTCTGCTCTCTGGGTCGCGATTTTAACGCAACTCGGCAAAAAGTCATGTCAATTGTAAATCAGCTAAATGTCCTTAAAGCCACAAGAATAGATGGTATTCTCCCATGACTGCTTCAGTAAATAGTTTTAAGCCCGATCGCTTTCGCATAATTTCGCATAAGCGAAACAGACAGATCATTTTCCGACACAGTGGAAGATGAGCCATTTTTTTCTTCGCTTCAAAAGTGGTTCCAAGGACGAAGTTTATAGCTACCGACCAGTAGCGCTCCTTCCATGCTCCGGAAAAATATTCGAGCAATGCATATATGACCGATAATTAGATTTTATTGGTCCTCAGCCCTCGGATTATCAGTTTGGCTTTCAAAAAGGACTATCATCTGTAATTCAACTTTTTATGTCGTTGAACAAACTATAAGAAAGTAAAGAGAAGAAATTGTCAACTCATGCTCTTTATCTAGACCTTCGGAAATCTTTGGTGTAAATGGTAGGTTTCTGAGAAAAATCGATGACTACCTGTGTGACAAAAGCAACATGTTCTTTTCGAGATGTGCATATCCAGCGCACCCCGAATACGACGTTTCCAGCGGAGATCAACAGGATTCCAATTTAGGTCCTCTTCTATTCCTGTGTTAAATTAACGAACTGCCAGGATTTTTAAGTGTTGTCCGCGCCTTGGTCTCTCTGTTTGCTGACGACAACAAATTAGTTGCATTGAATTGCCATCGTGATGAATGCTTTCCTATCTTAGGATCATGGGTTTTTAAAAAAATGGTTTTCCACCCCAATGAAAGCAAGATTGTCATTTTCTACGGCATGCCACCGATTTATGAAACTATTAGGAGAACCCATAGAAGTAATGTCATCGCATCTTGATCTTGGACTCATTGTCTCTGTCTCCTTTTACTGGATGTAGCATATTCATTCGCGAATTACTGAAGCATACCAGACTTTTTACAGGGTTAAGAGAAACCTATCCTCATTGCTTCATTTTATTTCTAAACTCAACTTTTAAAAGAAATACCCAGAAAACGGCAGCTCTGTAAGACCATGTAACATTTTGTAGAACAGTAACACAGCGTTGAAAATAAGATGGTAACAGATAGGCACGTTTTTTAGCCTTCGATTTCTTAAATAGAGCTTACGTTTTTCACGGCTTGTTTGGGACACATTGTATGATTTTTGGCTTTTTATTCTAAATCGCAAGTGGCGCGAAGCTCAGCTTTGCCTCCGTGTTTCAAGTAATTTTTCCAACTTGACTTTTCAGAATTTTTTTGACTTTTTTTTCCAATGACTATATTGTAGCACATTGTGTAGCGCAATTCAAAGTTTTTCAAGCTAGTTTAATGATGGCTGACGTGTTCTGCTACCTGTTTTCATCAAATTGATTTTCAGTTTGAAACGTTTGAAAATTTTGAGTGTTGTATATTTTTGGCGTTTTGTCAATTTTCGTTCACAAGTCGGTGGCTTTGAGTATCGCAAGTGGTGCGAAGCTCAGCTTCGCCTCTGTGTTTATTATGTAATTATATTTGTATGAGTATAATGGTTAAACTGTATCTGTTAGGCTTTTCACTTTTTTTGATATTAGATCTTTTTCTATATTGGAGAAAAGTTCAGTTCTGATGCACAAAATGTGCGAAAACTTTTAAATTAACTTATTGAAATTTAACAAAATGTTTTTTCTTGCGTTAAGCAAACCGTTAAATTCTAACATTTTTAGTGTTAAAATTGCTTTAGATTTGCAATTTGAGCTTTACAAATTCAGCTGTTTTCATTCATTCGCTCTTCGAATATGTGACTTTGTGTGAGTTTCTCAAAAAAAAAGAATCAGGTCATCACAATCTTCAGGTAAAACCAATCGATTAGGGAGGAGTTTCTCTCATTTTGGTTTCTAATTTCTGTAGTTGAATTACTTTTTTTCAGTATAAATGAGTTTCTCACACAATTTAGATAAATTCATTTTTTTCTTGTGTCCAGTTACGTGTTCTTTCTGAAGAAACGTACCCATATCGAGTTTAATTCTAATCACATCAACTCTAATCATCTCCTTTTTTATCACTATCGTTCCATATCTAGAAAATTTCTAGGACTTTGACTGGAATATGTGATGAAGGGACTCCTGACTGTAACCTCGTTACCAATTCTTCTGACTTTCTGATTATAAGAAAAAAAAAACAATTTAGACGAGTTGATTTCCCCGAACCACAATGAGATCAGCTCCGAACGTAACGACGTTCAAAAGCACGTTTCATAGTAATCTGGTTTTGAGCCAATGGCTCTAGAGGTTAATTTCCTTCTCGGCGTATGTAGCAGTTCAGTGACTTAAATTTTTTGATCAGTTATCTAAAAAGTTTTACGGTTCATAAGCTTCTGCTTGTTTTTGCCCGTGTTATCAAGTTTTTGTTTTAGTTTCAAAATGACGGAAGAGGATAGCTCTAATTTGAAAAGCCCTTCGTTTAGGCAGTCGTGCAAAGCATTAAAAGCTGCTGTTAACATGCTTGCAGATCTGGAAGTTTATAAAAACTTGAACTCTCTGTCACGCTGCATGAAATTTTTTCCAAGGTTTCACGGAGAAGAGTTACTTCTGGAGACGTTAATAAAGCATTTGGATATGGGCATTGGACTATTGGGCTGCTCGCTTCAATGTGAAAAAATGCAGTTTTTATGTGGAACATTAGCAAATATTGCTGTTGATTGCAGCTGTAGGATGCATCTCATCGACAAAACAGATGTAAAGTGTTGTTGTAATCTTTATATTTTTGTTTATGAATTTAGTATCACGAAAGTAATTTGCCCAAAATCAGAGATACCCTCAAACAACTAAGTCGTAAATAACTCTTTGACCTTGACGAAAAGATATTATACGTTATTAGAATCACAGCCTTATAATTTTTGTTCCATGTGAATCGATTCACGGTGATATCTATCTATCTATTATATAGTTAAATGCGGGCTTCACTATCTCGCCATGTATAGGCTTTTTCAATGTATTATTTTTGCATGTTTATGCATCTATATCTTACATTGCAATGGTCACGAATTTTTTTCGATTGTCCAGTTTGATGTTAAGAATTATTTCATCAACTTTGAAATTAGCAACCGAATGGTGGGATACTATAAGGAGATACGGCTATTTTCGAGATTTTCAAAAATATCTAGAAGACATGAATTTGAAAAAGTTCACAAAATGTGATAATCTGAACCCTGTAATTGGGTGCTGTCAGGGCGAATCTTGCCTCCAAATGTCACTTCTCAAATCTCTGTAGTTTTCCAGATATGACGTTTTTGTTCTTTCAAGAAGTTTTTTTTTCAGAAAGTGTAAGTTTGAAGTTTCTCAAAATTGAAAATTCCAACGCTGTAGTTGGGGACTGTGAGAATACTCTCAGGAGTGCAAGTTTTGCATTCCAATGCTACTGCTCGTGTGCTTTCAGTTTCTGAGATGTGACGTTTTTCAAAATTTAAGTAAAAAAAAAACGAATAATTTTTTTTACAAAATTGTATTTATCATTCCAGTAATTGGATGCTTTCAGAGTACACTCAAAGGATTCATATCTGATTTCCAATATCTGAGGTTTTATAATTTGTTAAAAACTCGAAGCACCGGAGGTGCGTTACACGCTAGTTACAACGCTAGAATTATCTAGAAATTGAAGATAAATGTTGGTGCTGCAATGTTCCTGATGTGCCAGCGGTTAAATTGGTTCCAGTTAATATGATTTCTGATGTCTGAAATGTTCCTACTTTTCGTTCCTTATAAAAAGGAGAAACATTTGTTGATCGAAAGCGTTTGTTTCAATCAAACCTTGAAATTTACGACATTTAGAAACTTTTTCATTTTTAGGCTATTTGGGAATGATGACATTTGAAAAGATACCTTATTTTCACCTTTCTTTTATAAAAAGCGATGAAAAGGGTTTCACGAATGCACAAAATCCCTGCTACTATTACTGCTACTTGTAACTGCTACTACTTTGGTTTGCATTTAGGTTTTGAACTCATTAGAAAAACTGTTGGACGTGAATAGTGTTTCTACCCAAATTCTGTCCAGAAGTGCGCGTTTGATAGCGAATCTAGCTAGAGTAGAAGCAGCTGCGGAGGATATGTTTTCTACAAATACAGTCTTTTCACTTCTCAAACATGCTGGAGACACAACGCATGCCAGTAACTTCGATTGCACTGAGTGCATTGTACGAGCAGTTCGCATTTTAACAGCTGGAAGACCTCAGTTGTTGAGCATGATGTTGAACCAAGGAGGAGTTTCAACTGTTTGCAGGAACTTTTCACCGCAATCTCAGCCGCTGTCGTTACAAGCTGAAATTCTGAAGTGCTTGAAGGTATCTGGATGTAATTGATAATCTCAATTCGATAACGATTTTGTTTTCTTTTCAACTTCAAAAACTATATTTACCTAGAATTTACTTTATCGAGACATACGAAAATTTGAAATTTTGGTAGCCCTTAAAAATCAATTTTAATCTTCATTACAAAAACGAGCCAGTGAGAGTAAGGTCATATTACGAAGTCCACGTTTTTCAAATCTAAGCCACAAATAAAAAAGCTCGTTTATTCGGTAGCGCTAGTGGTGCAGCACTAGCCTTATATCTCGTTTTTTTTCTGTATAGCATTATATCTTTGTATCTGCTTTATTAGTGGTTTTCCGTTTCAATTTTCAAGCGAGCAAGTGACCCTTTTAGAGCTACTTTGCCGTTTTCTCGCTGTGTTCGCGTAGTGCAGCTTCGAAATAAAATTTCGGGGCTCGAAATATCAGAATATCTGCTTAGTAGATTTGTTACATTAATTTGAAAACAGCTTCTTGTATATAGGAGCTCTGCGTGACAAATTGCAGCATGGAACTTGCAGGTCAAATCAAGGACAGTGGAATTCTGCCCAATCTAATTGATGTTGCCCGGCTGTCTTCGACTACAACTGAGGTGTCGGTAGCCTCACATACAGCTGTTAAGATTATATGTGAAGTGGTGCAACATTCCATAGCAAGAGGGATACTTGGATGCACTGGTTGTGTTGAGCTGTTTTTCACGATCATCAAAAATACGGAGGGGCAATATTCGAACGTAGAGGTTATTATCTAGTCTATTGCTTTGAATTCGACTTTATAGCTAATTTTCTCCCAAAAAACTATATGCCGTCTTGTTCTGAAAAATTTCGAATGCTCTTTTTATGTGAATAGCTATTTTTATTGCAATTTCATACGCTTAAATAGTTAATTTGTTTCAATTTAGGTTAGCAAGAGCGTCGCGGGCATCTGTTATCTGTCGAGAGAATGTCTAACTCGGCTCAAAATGAGGGATCAGGGCTATTTACCTGATCTAGTTGCCTTGCTGGGAGAGCAAAAACAGAAGCGACTTTTCAACATGATTCTCACGAGCCTACTTTGTTTTTCTAATGACGAACTCGGTCTCATTCTAATGGTCAAACGAGGAAACCTCCTGAGACATCTGTTCAATCTTCTAGATGAAGACAACTTTCAGGCAGTTTCCCACCCAAAGTGTAACGATAAGTGCCAATTAAAGGAAAAGCACTTGCTGCAAATGCGTCCCGACTTGTTCAGTCTGGATTTTGGCACTCCGATTGAGTACTACAAAAGCACAGCGTACCAAAGATCAATATCATGTAGCTCAACGGGATCTCCTTACCATGCTGCTTTAACAAGTCTACCAGGTGAAATTTCTCCTCCTTGGAGTACAACGACTTGCTCGCCTAGTAGTAACCCAGGTGCAGGTGGCAGTAGATTTATGATTACGTCACCGACTCGTAGTGGGATGGGTAGTGGATCCAGACAATGGCTGCCATTCAGCCAAAGTCCATTTCTAGAGCTCAGTCCAAATCATTTCATGTTGTCTCCGAACTATCCATCGTCTCCCGTTTCGTATGATTTTTCAAGTGCTAATAGTTTTACTAATTCGGTAGCTCCTGAAATGTTTAGCGACGAAGAAGAAGAAGACACTGAAGATGATCAGAATAACGAGTCTGGTAGGCAACAGATTGAAGGCTCAGTGAATCCATCAAAAATCGCAGAGATTAGCACCATAGTTGCAGAAAATGCATCCGGAAGTACTGAAGAGAAATTGGAGTTGGATTCTAACATTCTCAGCGTTGACTCAGGTAATTGTTAGAATAATGTATAGTTTCTGAAGAAGACTTTTATATAGGTCCTGTTGATTTTCTTTCGTTTTTCAATCGCAAGTCTTCGAGTTCAAATTTGATTTTTTGTTCATTCAATTTGATTTTTGTCAAGTACAATTCAATATATTGACAAATTATGCTCTGCAATTATGGAAGTTTAAATGACGCGAAGAAACCCGGATAATTACAGTTTTAAAAATGGATTTTGATTTTAAGATTTCCCACCCAGTGGAAAACAATACCCATCCATCAAGTTTTAAAAATTGGTGTAATTATATACGAAAAAAGGTCAACCATATAATGTTCTGGTAATTCAAAAATTTTCTCCGAAGTTCTAAAGATGAAAAATGTTTGATCATAATTGAATCATTTTGTATGTGTTCTTTAGTTCATTCACACTTTTCCAACAGACTGATGGCTATTATTTTATCTTCGGGCTTATGCAGCGAAAACTGCCCCTCAATACAGCAGTAAATTAACCAACTTGTTTGGAAGTTTCGTGTAAAAGTTCAGTCAAATATATAGTTAACGATCCGCAAAAACTTAGTGGTAACGGTGAAGTCGTGTTTAATCAATTCATTTTTATTGAAAAAAAAACCGGCAAGATATGTTAAAATTGCAATTAACCACCGAATAAGTTTTAGAATTTCAAATCCATTTCAAGTCAGAAGCCACTAAACTACGCTTTTAAAATGAATTAGGTTGTTCCTAGCAGATGGTCTGCACTTTCTAGAGTTTGCACTTTCTAGAGTTTTTAATCTATCTTTATGATCGCTGTTGAAAAAATTCAGTTCTTTTCCATTTTTAAAAGGAAGGCAAACTCCACGATCGAACAGCAAAAGTCACGAGAAACATGATCGATTATAGTTTCGAAAGTGTTTTTTGTTCAGATTTCACAGCGGAATAAAAAACTTACTTTCTGATGAAGTTTTTTCAAACTGGGATAATTTTATTAACAAAGCATCAATCAATTGTTCTTGAAATTTAAAGAGCTTTAAGGGCATATTTGTTTTCAAAGTTATTTTCATATTTGTTTCCCTGCGTACATTACTCTTTTTCAACTGTCAGTTGGTCATGTTCTTATGTCTAAATTGTTAAGTGTTCTAACTAAGTTAAAATATTTAAAAATCCTTTCAGCGTCGGCTGTGAACGTTATTACACAACGCCGAAGTCTACTTGACATATTGATAACGCCTTATTTGACATGAAGCTCGAAACAATATCCTGATGTACTTCAAGTTCAGCCGGCGTCTGAACAGCTAACAAGTTTCAGAGAGTTACTTTTTTTAGTCAACCAGCCCCAAGCCGAAACCAGAGTTTAACTATTTAAGTTGATAAGAGTGCAAATAACCAGCGCCCATTAAGCTATTATTTACCTGCAAGAGCGCAAATTGCAGCGCACTTGCGATTTGAACCCGCAATCTAATGATTGGACTAGTGTTTGCGATTTCTTAGCGTCTGTGGCTGAGTGGTTAGTGCGCGAGACTCATAATCCTTAGGCCGCAGATCGAATCCGAGACGTAATTTTTTTTCTCATTGCTTTTTATAGCTGCTTTTTGTGATCTCGCTAGTGTTTGCGAATCGCAGATTCGCCTCTGTGTTTTATTCTCACGCCATACAGAAACACCAGCAATTGTATCATCTATTCACATAAAAATGAACATTTTTATTCTTGATAGACAAGTACTTTTTAAAAACTGAATTTTCTAATTTTTTCCCGTAAAATAATAGGTACCAATTGGCCAATTTCTGCGGGGCTGCTTGTGTTCATAAAAACTTTTTTTCAATAGACAAATCAAAACTTTTTAATTTTCCCTTCAAGAATCTTTCAGATTGCTTCCACTAACATTAGATGATTATTTTAGGCTGTGCTGTTTCGTCGAACTGTTTCATTGGCATTTTTTTGAGCTGCGTTTTTTATATATGTTTTTATGATCGACATTTTTGTAGTCGCAGATCAAGACTCATGCAAATCCCCTTTCAAATTTGACTCAAGTCATATCAGCAAATCTATCTTAAAATACAATAAATTTGAAGTAAAATTCAAAAGCTTGGATTGCGTTTTGTTGGTTATACATATCCAATAAAGTGAACGATATCACCCAATGTTCACTTCCTTCTAACTGTTTTCCTCTTCTCAATTTAAAACTATGTCAAAAGAGATTTTTTTTTACTTCTGCTGATTCAGTTTTCCTTAGCTCTCAAGTCCTGAGATAACGATTCCTAATATTTGCGTTAGCAAATATCAGATAACCGGGACCAAACGTTTTTTTTGCCGTAAATAATTTTTCTGCAAATTTTAGAATAATTGATAGCTTAGATGTGAGTACCAGAAGTATCGACGTGCTATTTCAGAAAAAAAAATTATTACCGATTCCATTTCCTTGTTCTATAGTTACTAGCAAACTTAAGTGAGCGTTAGTGCTATACTACGACTATTCTTTTTTACTAACCTTAGTCGCAAATATTGGTGTCCTTTTGGGGCACCTTTACCGCTCGTTGATAGCATGTGCTTTGACATTCGAATATGAGTAAGTTAACACAGCTGAAACATTTGAAATTCATCAAATGAGCCGAAAAAAGCTATATGTTTCAAACAACGTAACAATAATAAAAACTCGATATTGGAAATTTTCTAACTCAATGTATCAATTTTTTGAAATGCATAATTTATACATAATGTAAATTAGTGTGGATGCGTTCAGTTTGTTATATTGCAAACTACTACTTGCAAAATTGTGTCTTTTTGTGTTTGGTGCCACTTTTGCTGAATTGCATTGGAAATTTATTCGCATATGTTGCTGCGTTATTGATGGCTAGTTTTTGGGGATTTCAAAAAGCTAGAATTTTTTAAAAAATTACTTGAAATTTTGCTTGGTTGTACTTTTCATTACAAGGGAACCCTTAGTTTTGCAAAGGAACCCCTCAAATTTGAAAGGGAATCTCTTTGTATAAAAATTGTATCATCTGTATAGAAATCGATTTAAATTGATTTCAATCTGAAGTTTGTCAGTGCGGGTAGTGTTTGCCTGTTGTTAAGCGTACGTGAACGAGAGGGTAGGGCGTGAGACTTCAATTCTTGAGGTCGCAGGTTCGAAGCCCAAACATAACAAAGTTTTACTAATTCGAGGTTTTTTCTATTTTTTCTTGTTTCACTTCATAAAGGTGCTTTTTTGTCGTGTTGTCGCTAGTGATTGCGAAGCGCAGCTTCACCTCTGCATTAATATTGGAACATTAAGAAAATCTCTTTCTTTCGTGTTTGTTGTTTGCATTTCATTTTTTGTCCACTAATTTTCCGTTTCTTTTATATGCATCTTATGATTATAAAACAGTGTTCGAAATAAGCTATTGGTTTCTTGTTACCTACGAATTGATGTTTTATTGCAACCTTATTGAATAAAAATTATCGGATCTTCATTTCGAATTCATCATTTTTTAAAATGTTTGTTAGCTTAGTTTCTGATTTTCCTATTTTGTATATAGTTTGATATTTTCAGCTTATAACCACACACGCTATCTTAATTTTGTTCGACTGCCAAAAATGGGTTAAAAACTGCGCTCACTCTTTTTTCCTTTAGTTTTTAATTTTCAAAAACAAGTTTTTTTTTATAACATGTGAAAGTTATTTGTTTTGAGGTTTTCCATCGTCAGCAAATTGAATTTATGCTAAATAATTTATACTCTCTCAAAGGTTGAACCTTAGCTCTCCATTTAAGATTGTGCCAAAGGCGCTCAAAAAAAATGTCGAAAAAAGGTAATTTCATTTTCGAAAGCGGATTTTAATTTTCAGATTTGCCAAATTGACGTATTTAACTAATGCGCAATTTTTTCTTGTTTGGTATAAAAACTTCTTGGCAAGTGAGAGAGGTGTAACGCGATGGGTTTTTCTTGTTCGAAAGTTGAAAAGTGTTAGCTTGAGTTCATTGATGCGCTTTTCTGTGGCAGTGTTTCAACTTATATGGTTATGACCTACGGTTTTGTATTGGTGTTATTCAATTTTGGTTGTTTGTTTTATTTCAGGTTCGAGACAACGTTTTTTTTCGGCTAAGTTGTCTCGTTCTATTTAATATTTTATAGCTGTGTAGTTGTTTGTGCTGCATTGAAAAATCTTACATTAATAAGCACGAAAAAATAGCTGCTTCCTGTGCAAGTAGTTCAATATGTTCTGAAAACAGTTAGATTTGCAAAAAAAATATTATTTTCAAAAATCTTTCAGTTCTTAAACACTTTCCTTACAGTGAGATGATAAATCCTTAGAATATTATCCTTTTAAAGTAATTCACTGTTAATTGATATATTGTTAATGGAACTATCATCATCTTTTAAAATCAAACTATTCATTTTAATCCGTTCTGCGTGGATTCTGAATAGCAAAAAATTCACTTTATCTCGAAACAAAAAAATTAACTTAGACGGCTTCAATCAGGAACGATATTTGACCCCTACGTCCTTATTGTGAGGTACCTGTAATCGAGCAAAAAACCTGTCGTAAGCCAAAGCGCCTTTCCGTTTATTTACACTAGTAAAAAGCTAGTGTATTAGTACTAACCTTCTTTTTTTCTAAGCGAACTCGCAAATAAAAGTGTTCACTAAAAATGGAATGTGTTCACTGATTTGGTGAAAAATTTGCTGTAATCACGATCTAGCATTCGAAATTTCATAGCATCTGTTCTCTGCTTTATTTGTGCTAGTGTTTGTGAAGCATAAAGCGTACGTGGCTCAATGGTTAGCTAGCGATTTTTTGCTAATTCGAAGCTTATTTCTACTTTTCCTTATGGCTTTTTACAGAGCTTCTTTTTGTCTTGTTCTCGTCAGTGTTCGCGAAGCGGGGCTTCGCCTCTGTATTAATTTGAGAACAAAAACTTTTTTTGAATTTTTATTGGTTAACTAGTCAAGTAATGGGTCTAGATTCACAGTGAACTGAACCACGCATCATTACGATAATGTCTTTTTACTTTTGCTAAAGCAAGTGTCTTGTAATCGGGAACTAAACCTAGATTTTGTTTCCCGTAAACAATTTTTACCAATTTTACTTGCTTTATTATTGAAGCTTTGGTACTTTCTTTTGCTCCCACTTGTCCTAGAGGTAATGCCGTTGCCTATTTATTTATGAAGCTTTAGAATTTTCAAGCTCGTTCCCCTTTGGCCTAGAGGTAACGCCATTACCTTTGCACCCTAATGTTGGGGTGCGAGTCCCGTCTGCACAATTTTCTGCAGTATGTATGCAATTGAAATTTTTCGGTTAAAGTTGAAGTGCCGGATTTTTTGTCTGCTCAAGTTTTGTGGTTTAGTTGCCACATCACGGATTCTGCTTGAGCTTTGAGTAACTTTCATTGTAGCTGCAAATGCAAGTGTTGTTCAATGTAGTCTCATGGGACTTCAAAATTAAAAAAAAATTCCCGGCTCAATTTGTGGCAGTTCAAAGATTGTTGGCTTAGTTGCCTTATCTCGGATTTTTTTAATCTTCAAGCAACTTTCATTGTTTTTTGCAAGTGATGAAAAATTTGTTCAATGTAGTTTCAGGGAGGACATGAAATTTTTTAATTTTGTTAAACTAATTTTTTTTCAGTGTCGGCTCAAAGATTGTTTACTCTTGATAAGTTTCGTTCTGATTTTTATTTAAATATCATATGTCTGGCATCTTTGCCTAAAATGAACTTCTACCGAGACTTACGAAAACTTTAATTTTGGTAGCCCTGTTTTTTTAACATTTTTTCTCTTCAAATTCTCATGTGTTATATGATTTTATTTTATCGCAATTGACGCGAAGCTCCGCTTCGCCTCTGTGTAAGCTCTGAAATTGAATGTTATTAAATCACAGAGCGTTATAACATCAGTTAAGAAAGAACAGTACAGTGCCCGCACTCCAAAAAATCAATGCTGTAATTTTATGTCACAAACGATCCTTTGCGAGCTTCCTTAATTGCGTGGGAAAATTTACCTGTGCCCATAGATACTTCCCACATCACAGGAATATCTTCAGTCGAAATGAATAACTATTGAATCTGTATGGTGTTTAGGACTAGGGGTATCATCATTTTCTCCCGTCGCTGTTAGTGAACAAAGTGGGAGCGCCATAAACGAAGAAATTATTCCCAGAAAACGCAGGATGTCGACTTGTGGTCAAGAACCTTCTGAAAAACGTGAAAAGAGAATGTCGGAAAGCAGCGCTATTTCAATTGCAAATGAATGCGAAACAATGAAAGCACCAAATGCGAGCAAAACCCCTTGTGTTGACGACAAGTTGACTGGCAAGCGGATTCTGACATGCGCCGAGTCGAATGTGTTGCAGCTGTTGACAAAATTGTCGATGATACACGAAACAGCTCTGATGTTGTGTAAGTCAGAATACACGGAAAGCATTCTTAATTATTATGCCAAATTGAACTCACCTAACGCACAGCTTCAAAGAGTGCTGGAGCGATTAGTTGAAAATGTAGTTCTTTTTATGCAATTGGTGAAGAATAATTTCGTGGTAAAACTTCACCGCAGGCTCGCCAAATTGAGCCCTGAAGAAGAAGAAGCCATGAGCGAATTGATAAGTGGTCTGGTGATTTTACTACAATCTAATGCGGAGAGCAAATACAATTATAGTGAGTTGTATAATGCGCTGTCAAATAGCCCTATTGAAATGCAGTTTTCAGTGGCAGTTTCATTACCGTTCATAATGAAGAAACCAGAATTCCAAAAAGTGTTCTTTGTCGACCACTTTGCACTTGACCTCTTGGTGAACAGTTTTTCGAAAACTCAATACTTGAACGATGAAGACCTACAGTATGCAGTTTATGCGCTAAGGCATGTTATAAACGTCGTATCACATCCGAAACCTGAAAATTCAGCAGTGGATGAAGCTCTTTTGACACAAAACGTCGACTCTGACTGTGACGACGAAAAAGTAGAAATATATTTCGATGGCTCCGAGAAGGATCTTTTCAGTCGAAAGATGTTATCAGACAGCTCAGACGTGCTGAAAGTATTGTTAAATAGCGAATCTGGATTTAAAGAAGGAACTCAAAGTTCGGTTTCACTGAAAGGTGTCAAATTAATGGACTTCAGAATCGCCGTAATGCTGGTTCAAAACAAAGAAATGCAACCGGAATTCTCGCTGAGTTTTGAACCTTATGGGACTTTGAATGTCATGGAAATGTACAATCTGTTATCCAATTGTACGCACCCAGAAATGGTGGCATCAAAGTTCCTTAAACTCATAGAAACGTCTGATTCGGAAGACTTGTTTGAATCTTTTGTGACAAAAACATCTCTAATGCCATCAATGTCAATAACTTCCTTAAACTTAGTTAGTATTATTATTTTCCAGCATTTGTTCATGACTGATAAGTATGTGGACGAAGCTAAATGTGTAAATTATATGAAGGCTCTCTTAAATTTACCGCAATTTTCTGTTCTGCTCCTAGAGTGTTTTTCTGAAAAGGTTGTAAAGTTTTATTTTCCTAAATAAATGATTCACAACGACATTTCAGTTTTCCATTTCTTCTCGAATTGGCCGTTTAAAATACCGTGTTTTCTCGAAAGAGCCCCCCACTTCGTAACAAGTTGTCAATTAAGAGACACATAACTTCATACATTCAAAAAATTAGAGACGTCGTTAAATAAAAGACTTTTTTAAGCCAGGTTAAATTAATTAAGGACTAGGCTCTGTTGGAAAAAAATACAGTAATTTTGAAATTTAAAGAAGTCCTGGAAAAAGATTGAATAACAAGGCGCATATTATAAACCCTTCTTGTTATCGTTCAGTATTGACAAGACAGTGATTGTTAAATTCACCGAAAAGTTTGGGTAATGTTCATTTAATAGAGTTCATGGGCTCAATTTAATCAATGGAATTGGCAAGCTATACTGTTGTAGAGTTAATATTCAGGTTAAATTTCAGGTGGCAGTGTGTGTCATCATGTTGACAGACATTTAGTATGAAGGTTAACTGAACCTAAAGCAATATGTTGAAGCTGAACGCAGTATATCAATCAATGCACACCCTCGCAGTATTGTATTCAGTTGTCATTGATTAAATATTTGAAATCTGATGTTAAATTAGCGCAGAGCGCCTTGAAAATGACTCACAATGAGAAACGAGCACATTGGATTAAAGAGGCGCTTCTTTCAACTGGCGCCGGAGTGCTCTACGGGTTGACGAGTGTTGCGGTCGGCCACCCACTGGACACGATAAAGACCAAAATGCAGGCACAGAAAGGCTTCGAGAAGATTTCAATGTCCAAGTCGTTCATGGAAGTGTTGAGGACGCAGGGGGTGAGAGGATTGTACAGAGGTTGCATTCCGCCACTGATGGGATCAGGAATATACAGGTACAGGTACACCGTGACAAAGAAGACAACTCTTAGGGACAATTTTTATACAAGCGAGCGTAGTGTTTGTTTTATTACGAAGCCCGTATTTGTAGCCCAACTCGCAAATATAATTGCTCATTTAGTGACACTTCTGCTGCATAGAATTGGCAGTTTTAATATCATCAGTTGTATCGGCTTTATTGGTGACCAGGGTTGCATATTTAGTGGAGAAAGTGTAGCAGATGCCTAGGACGTTCGAACCCGGGACTTCGTTAAAGTTTATTTTCGAGGCTATTTTGCATTTTCTTCCTTATTTCACCTTTTGCTTTTAGGGCTAATTAGTGCCATTTTCTCTCGTGTTTCCGAAGTGCAGCTTTGCCTCTTATTAAAATATTTCAAGCAGGGGTGAATTTTCTGCTATCACAACGTGTAGAAACGACTTGAAAGATAGCCCTCTACTTAAAATTGTTTTTAGTTGATATTGATATTGGTTTAAGTGTCAATTAACATAGTTAAGACATTTATATAGGTCTTGTTGATTGTTTTTTGTTTTCTTTTTTTCAGAAAACCTTAAAACTTGTTCACGCCGAATTTGATCTTTTGAGATTTGACTTCATTATTTAATCAAATTTGTTAGCTGAATGGAAGGCAATTTATCTTCTACATTTACGATATTATAATAGCGCGAATATCGAGCTTGGTTTTTTCTTTGAATATTTCCTGGAGGACTATTTTTTCACTTATCGATCCAGGGTTTGCAAATTGGGTTTACGGGTCATTTTTTCAGTTTCCTTGCTTTCATTCAAACTTTTCTTACTGTCTGTTGCCTTGGTTTTCTCTAACATGCCTGAGTTATTTATTGGCTAGAATTTAAGGTACTCGAAGTTTTTTCAACTTTGAAATGATCGTTGGCGTCAAATTTCAAAAGTTGGCAAATGATTTAGTTACGTTTCAATTTTCGCCTCTTCCACTAGTTTTTTGCTAGTACTTTATTGATCTGGGTGGTAGTTTTTTTTCCTGTAAACAACCAATCTCATGGAAACTTGCCTCAACAAACGCTTAACAGACAGACATAACTTTCTGTTGTTGTTGTTACCCCCAAGGGGCGCGTCCGGCATGCTGAAACTGAGGTTCAGAAACTTTGGTCAGCCGAAGCCACAAGTCTATGGGAGTAATGGTAGTCGTGATCTTAGAACTGGTAAAAACGTGTGAAGTGGTTTGTTGGTAAATTCAGTAAGGGCAGTTTGGAGGGTGTTTATGTCGATTCTATTTAGGCAGGAATTTAAAAGGGGATGTAACCGGACCTTAGCTGGGAAATTGTTCTCCTGGTGGCACGTGGAGGGTTTTTCAGTGGGGAGACATCGGGGGGTTTGAGAGGAAGTACTTTCGGGAGAGGCGCATCTGCAAATGCCTGCTCGATACTTTTACTGTGCAGTTGTGCTCGACATACCTTTTTTCGGCTGATCAGCTGTAGCTGCTGAAAATCTCAAATACAGAAAAAAATAGTAGACGCTCAATAAGACTCTTGAATAGGTCATTGTGTTTTTTCTCAGGAAAAATTTTCTCACGCTAAATTTTGATTTTTCGCTTTTGCTTTTGAACTATTTTAATTCGCTTCATTTCTTTCTTAAAAGGAAGGCAAACTCCACTATCGAACAGCAAAAGTGTATCGACTTCTTGTTTTGAAAATGGAATTTTATTATCAGATTTCCCAGCAAATTGAAATCTTTACCTATTGATCCAGCTTTCTCACATTGGGTTATTTTCATGAAAGAATTGTCAATTATAAATTGTCTTGAAGTTCAAAGACATTTAAGACCGTCCATTTTTTTGTCGATCTTCGAAGAAAGAGATTTTTAGAAAAAACAGGTTTTTTTCTGCTTCTTTGCGTTCATTACTCTTTTCCAACTCACGGTTGGCAATGTTTTTTTTTGTTTCGGGTATGTTACATCTTAGGTTAAAAGTTTTAAACTGCCTTTCAGGTCTCTCCAATTTAGCTCGTTTGAAACAGTCTACACTTATTGCGAGGGCACATGGGCAGCTAAGCCGATGCCTTTTTTACCCCATTCGTCCAACGGAGGTCTGCAATCTAGAGTTTTGATTGGTGGTTTGGCAGCATCTCTTGTCAGAGCAACTATAGAAACGCCATTAGAGTGAGTAAATTAGATTTGAAACTTAAGGATTAATGAATGAATCGAAAAATTCTTAACTGGTGACTGACAATTCGTAACTGGCAAAAATTCGTAGCAGTTGGCGTTTTGCAACTTACAATTCGTAACTGGCGGTAATTCGTAGCTGGCCACAATGTGTAACCGGCGACAGCTGTTAACAGGAGACTATTCGTGTTCTTAACGGCAAATAGCCATTCACGTCCACAATACCCTTAGTGCCGAATGTAGGTGAATCGAAGCAAAAGGTCGTTAGTTGCCAATGCTGTGTTACGATGTGTTACATGCTACGGTTTTTCGCCCACCCCTAAATTCAAAGCTAAAATTTTTTAACGTTCGGTCATACTTGTTTGAAAATGTCGAGAACAATAAAAGAAAGTATTAATGTATGCTTTGACCAGAAAACTATTTGGATAAGAAAATCGATCTTTTTTTGAGAAATGATGACGGGGTTGGCTTGAGCGGCATCATAACTCAGCCACAAGTTTGACTTCATTTTCACGGCTTAGCATGACAGTAGATTATGTTAGCTAGATATGTGAAAGTGCGCCGTCAAACGGGACAGTCTTGGAAAACGATGGAAGCGTTCAATGGATACAAAATCACGTGGCTTCGCACAACGGGACTGATGACAACGTATTTTGTCATCGTGGACTACATCAGACGAAACCACAAGGAGTTTTTTAGCCGGCCTCTTCTGGGATCTTTTTTGGTGTCCGGATGTGCGGCCACTTTTGCATGGTGGGTCGTGTGGCCCTTGGAATTGATGAAGTCTCAGGTCAGTTCACCTTGTTGCTATTAAATGTCAATAAACGAGGCGAATACATTTTTTGGTCAATTATTTTTCCTCGTTAGTTTTGGTTTCGAGAATAACAAAATCGTAAAAAGTTATTCATGCTCAAATTTACGCTCTCTGGCTTCTGATTTCTTTAAGACCAACTCAAATGAGTTGTGATTGAAGGTCTAACTCATAGAGTAATTTCAGATAGGGCACACCGTCTGCTCGTCACGCTATCTTATTTTCGGCTGGATAGATTCGTGCAACTTCTTAGTCTAATACCGATCTTAAGCTTACTCTTATATCTCTTAGTCTCAATAGATCTAGAGTATACTGGTTTGTTACGAGTAGGTCTCTTGGAGAAAGCAACTAAGTTATAAGTTAAATTCAAAATGCTCTGGTGCTGATATTACAAGTAATTTCAGCACTTACAAATAAGTGGGTTGTTAGTTTGATGGAGTGTGATTGGTTCTTTAATATTTTATAGAGATAAAATATCTAATTTATAACCAATAATAATATATAGTTTGGATCAGGTTCAACAAGTTCATCTGAAGAATGGAGTAACTGATTTAACTAATTTTCATAGCTTCTAAGCCAGTTCTATTTGATCAGTGTTCGTTCTATATGCGCACAGTCGGAATAATTTTCTCCCGGTTTGTTGCCTTTTTAATTTTCGGTTGTTTGAAATCAGGCTAACAATATGAAAGTTCTGCGTTTAGGTTCAAGGAAATTATGGTCATGCAAAATTGACCCTCCGTCAGAGATTTTCAATTGTGCTCAAAGAGCGAGGTGGGGTTCGTGGACTGTACAGAGGCATAACACCTGGCACTTACAGATCACTCCTGTCGAACGGGACCAGCTTTGTTGTAATGGGCTATGCACAGAGAAAAATAACACAACTTGGACTTAGAGACTGATCTATTTGTTAATTTTTCTGGGAAGTCTACTTAATGAGCCAATTGTCAATAGCGATCTAAAATGATTCAAAAGCGATTAAAAATGTAATTTCTGTTTTTTTTTTGCTTTCTCCAAACTTTGAGCTGATAAATCTATTTGTGTAGATATTTATATCGCGCAGGCACAATTAATTATTTGAAATCACGAACAGTTTGAATTCATTTTTTACGTCGGCTTTCGGAGGTTTTCAATGAGATAAGTATGCGAAGGGTTTCAATATTTTACTGCAAAAGCGGCAAGTCACTAGAAAGTTCTATTATTGCTCGATTAGTTGGGGTTGTCAATCAAATAAAATTTGATTGAGACAATATTTTATCTCAGTCTTTAGCCTATAGCTTGAAGTATTTATGCAAGTGTATACTAGGAGGCAGGGTCGGATCTAGGATTTTTTCGAGGGGGAGGGGGACTGATTTTCAAAAAAAAATTTGGTCGACGTTTTTTTGAGTCGATCTAATTGATTTTCTCACATCTCCCAAATCACTATAAAGACCCAGTTTTGACCAAATTTTCTGTGGTTTTGACCAAGTTTTTGAAAAAAACAGGCCAAAAAGGAGGTGTCTTTTTATTTATGCTTTCTGCTAAATGAAGTTATGTTGGTGCCGGGGGCGTCGGTAGAAAAATTTTATGGTCAGTCAGCCATAAATGAATAGCTCAAACTAGTACAGAGGGGAACCTTTGGCTCGTCAGGGGGTCGATTCCTAAGAAGGCGTACCCCCTCCCTAAATCCACTACTGCTAGGAGTACACTTTTTCCTATCGATAGTATGATATTGCAAAGCTTATGCTTTATTTGACAGCAGTAGTTGTATCCGCTAACTCTTTTGAAAATGCGAGTATCTAGACAGCAATGATGTAATAGGGAAACGTTAAAAGTGTGCCTCTGAAGTCGTAGGCTTTTGCAGTATAAATATCGTAGTCTCTGTAGTTTTCTCAAGCAAAATTTTTATGTTTTTTTTTAAACTTGTAATTAATAAACGAGGTATTTAAACAAGCATAGCTTGTGGTAAAGAATGAACTGTATTTTATTGTTGCGATGCAATTTTTGCGACAAAATGTGTTCATTTTGATCCAGCTATTAAGTACAGCCAATGCTAAGGATATTAAAACACAGGTTATTATATTTCAAATAGCACTTTAGCTTCAAGGTACCATGGATCTGTAGTGTAGAGGCAAGGAAGGAGACCAGCATCAAAATAAGAGGGTTCGAACCCGGGCAGGGTCGGATGTTTTTAATGAACTTTTTGGATTATAGTTCAAATGCGTCCGCTCTATAAATTGAGGCATGGTAATTGGTTAATTTCTTTTTCTAATTGAATGGTACCGCTAATGCGTCATAATTGGCTTGCGTTACTTAGCAATTATATAGACTAATAATTGTCGTGCGTCACTTAAGAAATTTTGTAGATTCAAAGTTTTAATCATTTCAGTTTTTCCCAGTAGCGATATCGGTCGTACTTTTGCTTGTGTATGCGAAGTGCAACTTCACCACTGTGTTCAATTTAGTATGTTGTTTTGGTATTTGAATTTCAAATACAAAAGTGGTGTTTTAGTATTTGAATTTTGACCATTTTAGTTTATTTTTTTTGCAGGAAATGATCCTGCAATTTTTTTTCAAGATTAAATTTATATTCTGGTGGAATAAATCTTTGATTTAAAGAAAAAATTACCTACAAAATCATTTGGTAAATGAAACAAAAACGTTGCTTTCTCATATCAAAAGTGGTCATCAGAGACGGAAAATTTTTCTAAAATCCAGTTTTCTCGAATTGGATTTATTCACTAAAAAATAATAAAGATTTTTTTCGAATTTTTAGCAATTGCTCTGTTTTTTTTTACAGTAAAATTGCTCAAACGATCTTCCAAGGAAAGTGTTTAAATTATCAGTCCACTTTTTTCTTTGAGCCGAGGTTCAATTTTTTTTTGCAAGTTTATGCTTAGATTGAACAGCGTATTCTAGGTATATCCGATTCATTTTAGCATATAGATTGCTGTGTGTATAAAAGTTCGGAAAATTTTTTTTTTCACTTAAACTTAAGGGAGGGAAGGAAAGAACCATTTTCCTTGTTCATTGAGTTTTCCAATTGTTTGCCTCAAAAATTTTGCTTCGGTGTAACGTTTTCCGGAAAATTAATGCAAGTATAGATCTGTTTTGCAATTTCATTTACGGTCAAGGGAAGTTATAACTTCAAACTGCTAAAAGGTGTTTTACTATTCAAATTTTGACCATTTTACTTCTATTTTTTTTGCAGGAAATGATCCTACATTTTTTTCAAGGTTAATTTTTTATTCTGGTACTTAAATCTTTTTGAAACTTGAAAATTTACCTTCAAAATCATTTGGTAAATGAAAGAAACATGTTGCTTTCGAATATCATAAGTGGTTATCAGACGCAGAATATTTTTTTAAAATCCAGTTTTCTCAAATTCGATTGATTGAATTAAAAATGATTCACATTTTTCTTCGAAAATTTAGCAATTATTCTGTTTTTAGAGTTAAATTGCTCAAACGAGCTTCCAAGGAACGTGTTTATAATATCAGATAAATTTTTTCCTTGAACCGAGGTTCAAATTTTTTGGCAAGACTTCTACATTGGTTCAACAGCGTGTTCTAGATGTATCCGCTTCATTATAGCAGAATAGTGTAACACTTTCCGGAAAGTTATTGGGTCTTTACATCTCATGTTTTCCAATTTAATTTACGCTGAACGGAAGTTTTATATTTGTTAAAAAACTATGTTGCCGATAAGTTATAAGCTGCAATATCTTCTTTTTTGTTGGGTGAGATAGAATAACTAAGTGTGAGAGGGTTCGACAATTTTAGTTTCAATTAAATATTGCTAACTTTAAGCTTGAATTCGATCAGATTTCTTGGATTATTTTTGGAGTAGAATGAAAAAGTGAGTAATTATTTAAATTAAAACCTAGTTTCTCGCGTAAAATCACTTCGATTGGCTGATGAAACTTTCAAATTTACTCCTAAAATGTTTTCTCAACTCTACTCTATTTATGTTATTTTTTCAGGACTAGCCTCTACTTGCATCTATGCGTCCTTACCAAATAAAACGGGAAAACATACCATCGTTTCTTAGAAGCCCTAAAAAATTTACACCCTGACAGTAAACCCGAAAAATTTAAATGAATTTGAGCAGCCTGCTCTTCAAGCGTTTTGAAAAAACTTCCCAGAATCCAAGCTGGCTGGATGTTTTTCATCTTCCCCAAAACTAGAAAAATTGCGGAACTCGGATTTAAAAAGGAGTACGAAACAAGCCACGAGCTTGCACTAGCACTTAAAATGTTACCCTCACTGGATTTTGAAAAAGAAGATGAAATAAGGAACTCGTACAATAAATTAGTCGAGGAAATTCAAATAGTATGCAATCGCACCATAAAAGAGTTGAAAAAAAATTGTAAAAATTGACGAGCTTTGCCTGTATTTTGGATCTTATTACATAAAAAGTCTATGTAAGTCCTAGAAAGTCCCGAGAAGTCCCATTCCCCCCTTTACTATAAACCAAAGAGATGCGGCAACATCCGGTTTGGCAAGAACAGCAAATGCTGTGGATGGCTGGCATTATGGTATACAGTCATAGTTTAGTGGTTCACACCCTAGTATTTGGAAAGTAATCGCAAACCTGCAAAAGGATGCCTCTCCCTTCAAAAACTTAGTTTCTTTTGCGCCTCAAGCGGGCACCATTTTACAAAAAAGAAAAAGTACCGAGTCCTAAATTATTATGCAGGTTTACAAAGAAAAACTGATTTGCTTTTCTTTCGCGCTATGGTGAACATAAGCTAAACATTTGTTCTTTGTATCTATTTAAAAATTAAGTTTTTGTTTGTCAATTTTTTGAGAAAACGTCTCTTTGCAGCCTCTCGGAGAAGTAAAAAAAACGCATTGACTTGACTCGCTTTTGAAAATGCTGCCCCTAGCAATTTAATCCCGGAACAATCGCTCCTTTGGTGGGACGCTAGGTTGGGACTAGGAGCTGGCAAACCCTTTAGACATTGCGTTGTATGCCGACAGTTCAAAAAAAATTGACTAACTTAAGATGGTTTGTTAAGTTTTACTTTAAAATGATTGCGATTTGAAAAAAAAACTTAGATTAAATCGATCAAAGTTTTGGTCACCGCCAGTTTTCACTCCATAAACCATTTAAATTCAGTCAATTACCCTATTATTTGCAAGATTGTTTTCCAGATCAATTTCAATATTGCAGAAATCTAATCATTTTTGGATAATAGTTTGAGTTATGCCGATCGGATTGGTTTTCAATTCATATCAAAGTCTAGACTATCGGCAAAGTAATTTCTGTTCAAATCTAAACCGAATTTAGCAGCTTGCATGTTATTTCATTTTGCTTCCAAAAAGTTTTTGCAATTAAAGCTTTGATGTTTAAGGACGCTATGGTTCCGAGTTCCTTTCAGGTAAATTTCACTTTGATTCTGACAATTGGTATTAAAAAAGGGTTAAGGTAAAGTAGGGTTATCTAATTCTGGGGTTATTTGAGAGGCGGTTAAGAAAAGGGTTAAAAAACGCGGGGTGATAAGCTGGGAACCGTCAACCTCTTAATATAAAAACATGGCTGTTCGTATCAGGGAAAAGAATTGATTTTCCCATCATTTTTAAAGTAATGAGCAGTAGTTCATCAAAAAACATAAAACTATATAATAACTGCAGTTTTAGCCCTCACCAATGTAATGTAAAGTAGAAAAAGATATATTTGTTATCTATTCATTAATTTTTGGATATATTAGGTTGCTACAATTCCAATTGGCATGATTAAGTTTGCCCGCTCATGCTACGGTGTAACAAAGAATGAGAAAACAATGTACATTGTTTATCCTGAATTGGCTGAAACTTTCAAACCATATTCCTGAAACTTTGAAACCACAATTTAAAAAAGTCATGTGAAAAAACCCGTTTGATTTTTCAGCTCACTATATTAATATCTTTAAATTTCCCTGCTTAATTTTGTCAAAATCTTCACAAAGAAGTTAACACTGTTTGCATAAAAAACACTTGTTCTGTCACCTGTTTCAAAAGTCAAATCAACATGATTTGCAGAAAACATTTATCAGGAACTTGTTCGAACAACTTGTTCATAGCATCCCTAAAAAGCAAAATGAGAAAAACGAAATGTGAAGTATCTCAGCTTATGTGTTTTGCTGATGAAAAGCAGTAAATGAAAAGTATTTCGAAACAAAAAACACGTCTATTTTCCGGCTTTTAAACGGCTCTAAAAAGCAAGAATTTTACTTTCGGACAGTATATTTAACTAGCTCTTTGACAACCCCCAAATTACACACGTCTGACGCACAAAAACATGTCATTCAAGGATGGCCAAAGCCGTTTTATGAACTAATTTAACAGCTAAACAAAACAAAAAAGGTTTTTGGGGGATTCGAACCCGGTTACGGAGCATATATTTTACATTCTTTCAACTTCGGCTCATATTTGAGTTTTGTGAAGTAAACAACCTAGGCGGCATTCGAACCTATGCCGAACCCGCCCGAGCGTTTTAATAATTCTCTGCGTAAAAGCTCTCTAATTCCTACCACGCTTTAACTTGCCTAACAAGTTCCACGTCTTCGACATAACACTTAAAACAAGTTGATAACAATCCGGAAGATGAGTGAAGTGGGTCACTAAAAACCATTCTCCGGCAAACGAACAGCCGTTAAAATTTTTTAATACTAGCGTCCAAAAATTTGGGCCAAAACTTCTAGCAAAACTTAAGTCACTTGCTTTTTTTGACCCAGAGTATTTTATCTAAAAAAAGTCTAGTACTTGTTACCGTGTTTTGCCATTGTGAGCATTTTGATAATTAAATAAATTAGATATATAGATATGAGGATTTCAGACACTCTGAGGATTTCAGACACTCTGAGGATTTCAGAAAGTTGTTTACAGACAGACTCCTGATGAAGTGACCATCTCTGGTCGATAGAAAAACTTCAGAAAACTGTGAGACAACCCCAAACCCAACGTTTTTTGCAAGCTATTGCAAAATTTAAACTGTCTCCAGTTACCCCTTTTGCTAAGTTTTGATATTATAAATATGTATATATATGTTTAATATGAAAACTTTTTAAATAGATCAAAACTATAATATATATAAAATCAAAACTTAGCAAGGGGGTAACTGGAGACAGTTTAAGTTTTGCAATACCTTGCAAAAAACGTTGGGTTTGGGTTTTCTGGAGTTTTTCTATCGACCGTAGATGGCCATTTCATCAGGCGTCTGTCTGTAAACTTCTTTGTGAAATCCTCACAGTGTCCTTCTGGTGCGGCTTCTCATGGTCGAACTCTCGGTCGGAACGTTTTTTGAATAAAAAATACATCCAAATTCCGGCGTTTAAGTGACTTGAAAAATGCAATAATTTTACAATCGGACAATGTTTATCTAGTTTTTTCACAGCACCGTGATTATAAGCTTCTGAGAGCGTTCAATCAAACCTGTTATCAAAGTCGGCCAAAATTGTTTTATGAACTAGTTTA